TATTTGAAAATACAAAACCTATATAACTTGATCTACTAAGATGGAGGAGAACGTATTCATACATAAAAGTCTTGATACAATTCCTAAAATAACTTAAAAAAAAGACTAAAAGGAACTAGTTGTATATTCATTTTAATGTTTATCATTCAGTTACGTATTAGAGTACACATATCTTGCCTCAGGTACCAATCACCATTGTAATCGGTAATGTGAATGAGCTATGGAATTTTTATGTCATACCTTAGGTTCCGAATAGATCACCATTATAATCGATTGCTCATTTTTTTACTTTCTATGTTATGTTTTTATTATTGTTGTCCCTTTATTATTGTTGTCGACGGGTGCCACATGTGGAGCAGGATCTGCTCATCCTTACGGAGCACCTAAGATCACCCTAAGTTTATGGTGGGTTCGTGTTGCTCAGTCTTTAGTTTTGTATGCTGTGTTTTGTGTACCGTTGTTTGTCTGTTGGTCTTTTTCTTTTTAGTCATCGTGTTGTCAGTTTATTTTAGACTGATGAGTTTGAATGTCCCTTTGGTATCTTTCGCCTCTCTTTCGTCGTTTTTCTTTTTTGCCATTGCGTTTTCTGTCTTTATTGGAATAGCCCCTTGATATCTTCTCCTTCTCTCTCTCTTTATATTATACCAAAGGTTCCGAATAGCTATTGCTATCTTCTCTCTCTCTTTTATATTGTAACAATGGTTCTGAATAGTTCGAAAATAATCGGTTATGTTTTTGTTGATAGAATTTAAATGTTATGGCTAAGGTTCCGAATAGATCACCATTATGTTCGGTTATGTAATAGAGCTAAGGAATACACTAATTATGCCTAAAGTACTAAAAAGATTATATTTATATACGTCAATATAAAAGAGTTGTTGAATTTACATGTGATGCTTACGGTTACGAATTAAAAGATAACAATTTTAATCGATTACTAGTATGTATAAGAGTAATGAAATTTCCATATCACACCTAACAAGATTCAACATAGATCACATTATAATCGGTTATCTGCCATTGGAAAATAATTGTGCACCCCTATTGGCTTACTTGTTTTTAACTCAAATCAAGCAGAATTCAAAGAAAACCTTTCCCGAAAACAATAAGAAAAGGTATCTTGCACAGTTAATTAATTCTCCTTTCAGATATACTGATGATGTCCTGCCACTCAATAAACCACATTTCTGTAAGTGCGTGTATTTCATATATCGCGGTGAATTTGAAATTAGGGATACTACGAGAACTAAGCAGAATATGCTTCAGAATTGATCTTTTCCTTGATATTGTTGTAAATTGACGACTTCAAACTAGAGTACATAACAAACGAGATGATTCCAGCTTTCCAATTGTCAACTTCCCATTTTGCATCAGGCGTTTTATGGCGTTAACATTGATAGTTACGTCCGTGCATGGTCACAATATACGAACTTCATCAATAGGGTTGTAATCCAACAGAGTTATGCGGACGAACGACTTAAATCGACGCTACAAAAGTTACGGTCAGCATTCCAAGTTGATTAACTGATACGATGTGGTTGTGTCTCAACTTATTTGCGTCTTTAGACACACGAATAGTGGTCTTATCTGTAAATGTAAGGATTATGTTCTATTCCTAATTGTAACATTTTGAATAAGTGTGGATTCGCATGGCGGGTGATGCTGTCATATATAACGGAAGACGCTTATTCTATCAACCGTTTTATACTTCATATGTTTCCCTCAATGTTTTTGTTTTACTTTATTTTTTGGTTTTGTAAGTTATTATTGAATTTGTGATATTTTGATATCGTAAAACCCAACTGTTGCCTCTTACGTATAAGAATTATGGAACTTAAATTTCATGCGTAATATTCTGATTAAATCAGACATTGTTGTCAATATAATGAAATTCTATGCGACTGTTATATAAGTTAGAGGTTAAGCTAGCTATAAAACCATTTTCTACATAAGGAAATGCCTATACCAAGTCAGGAATATGACAGTTGTTTTCCATTCGTTTGATGTGTTTGATCTTTTGATTTTGCCATTTGATAAGGGACTTCCCGTTTTGAATTTTATTTGGAGTTCGGTATTTTTGATATTTCATTTTTCACCATTATAATCGGTAATTTTGTTTCAGTTATAGAATTTTCATTTCGTACCTATTTAAGGTTCCTAGTATATAACAATTTGTAATTGGAGTTTATCATCATTGACCTTGTAAAAAAGGACATACGTACCTTTTCAGAGCAAATTAAGCAGTTTGAATTTGTTTATCTTTGTGTTTCTGTGCTAAGTTCTATTGTTTTTTTTTATCGTCTCTCTCTCTCTCTCTCTCTCTCTCTCTCTCTCTCTCTCTCTCATTTAGACGATTTGTCTAAGGATTTCCTACTCATAAAAGCCTTGGTTTGTCCTTCTATAGTTTTTATATCATAATTGACCCCTTCACATCGGTAGTTGTACATAGGTATTTAACGATTGAATAACTAAATAAACGAACTTACTAGTTATACAATATTTACTCAGCACTATAGAATGTAATAGCATTTATTTATTAGTTATCAAATTCGATACACCAATTTAATTTGAGAAGACATAAACTGGATAGTTAATATCATTGATTGTAATCATTATGTATGGGTAAATATTTCCTTCGATACCGTCCCCCCTGGGTGTAGTAAGTGTTTTGGAGTTCTTTGGTAATTAGTTATCACGTTACTATACACATTGATCAATCGTGACGCGACATAGTCTAAAATTATTTTTTTATCACTGTAAACTTGAGACGAGATTTTTGTCAAGGTATTATACAGGATAGAATCACGATATCAACATGTATTTTATATCAGAACATATTTAAAAAAAATATGCTAGTACGAAAAATTAGAACTGCACAAATGGGTCACTGTTTCTCAAATCTATACGCTAGTAAAATGAGTGGACATTGGTTGAGAATAAAGTGCTATTTCTTTCATTCTTAACACTACCATTATTAAACATCTCCGCTGTTTGTTTTATAAAGTCAACACTATGATTAAAAATGTTCTTAAATAAGAAATGATTTCATCTAAACTTGACCAGTTTGATAAAATAAAACATTTATTGTGTTAATATTTTATATTACGTAAATCTCTTTTATACAGCGACTTCTAAGAGAGTTGTTACCTGTCATTTGATCATGCATTTGAATACTAGTGTCAAGCTGTTTAGACATTATACTTTTAAATTTTGTTTTTTACTGAACACCAACGTACATAATCCTAAAAAAGTCAGACGTATTTTATGATTATATATTTATAATGCCGTTTGAAAGCTGGAACTGCTTACCATTCTGGAGCACACGAGTTCCCCAGTGTTTGGTTGGGTTCGTGTTGCTCAGTCTTCACTTTACTATAAGTGCTTTGTTATTGTTTTGTACTGTCAATCTTTTTTATTTTTGGACATGGAATTTTCCTTTTTTTATTTTTGGACATGGAATTTTCCTTTTTTTTATTTTTGAACATGGAATTGTCCTTTTTTTTTATTTTTGGACATGGAATTGTCCTTTTTTTATTTTTGGACATGGAATTGTCCTTTTTTATTATTTTTGGACATGGAATTGTCCTTTTTTTTAATTTTTAGACATGGAATTGTCCTTTTTTTAATTTTTGGACATGGAATTGTCCTTTTTTTTATTTTTGGACATGGAATTGTCCTTTTTTTACTGGACCTATCATCTTGATATCTTCGATCTTTCTTTTTTTAAATTATTTCCCCCCCAAAATTTGCTAGAAAAAATTTGCCATTTCCATTCTATTATTCCCCTCATAGACCCCATATAAAGGTGGCTAGATGAGAAGGTATCAACGGCAAATATCATTAATATCGACAGTTTCGGATGAATTAAATCACACATATTCTGGAATGCCATGTCATTAAATAAAGCGACGGTAGTGTCTCGATGTTCAAATCTCGTAAATCGATTAAAAAGAGACCAATCAAGGTAACGAACACAAAATTAAGGGAACTACATGAATTCCAAAAAGCAGCGAGACCGGGTCGTTGACGGGTTAAGCGTCTCCTGCATTCATGCATCACCCATTTTGCGAATTCACACTGGCAGGGTGAGTAGTTTCTGCCACACAAAAAATGCTCCGTAAAATGTAACAATGTTATAATAAAATACATCTGCATCTTTAGGATTTGGCACATCAGGTGTTGAATACAAATACAATGTATACTAGTAATTAAAAAGCATAATGTCTAAACAGCTTTACACTAGTCTGAAAATTTTCTAACATTGGTTGCATCATTGTGAATATGCTGTCGGTATGATATTAACACTTTCAAATTCCCATAAATCCCATCTCAACAAATGTCGAAGTCTCCGTTTTTATTGTCTCGATTTACCTTTCATTATTGGAAATAAGTATTCGATTAATCTGGTGGAGAAAACTGCTACCCTTTTCAGCACCCACTGCATGGTTGAATTTATGTTGCTCTATTAATCTTTTTTTTTGTATAGTGTTTAGTTGGCGCTGTTGATTATATCCCCGCTTTAAAAAATGTGGGGTATACTGTTTTACCTCTGTCTGTCTGTCTGTCCGTCCGTCCGTCCGTCCGTCCGTCCGTCCACCCTTCCATCCGTCAGTCCATCCGTCAGTCCGTCCATCCGTCCCATGAATATTTTTCGTCGCATCTTTCTCAGGAACTACATCATTAGGATTTCTGAAATTTGGTTTCAGGGTTTATATAAGTCTGATATACCGTACGCGCGTGTGATGCGTTTTCAGATTCACCACGCAACAACTTCCTGTTTACCGAACACTTACATATTTTTACACTATTAAAATTATCCAGTTGCAGCGGGGGTATTATCAGTGAGCCCTATCTCGCAGTTTTACTTGTTTTCCATGCGCAATAATCCCTTGTGCTGTCTTTCTTCGACTTATAAGAGTGTTTATTGGACTCACATTAAACTTTTCAAAGGTAATTTTGAGGCATATGTTAAAACGTAAATGTATATTGTACTTTTTCAGGTCATAAATAAAATTATGTACACGGGAAGTGCAGACCATACGGCACGTGCATGGGTAACAGAGTTTGGAGATTGTACGAGAGTTTATAAAGGTCATAAACATTCTGTGGCAGTCGTGAAGTTTCGAGACGGATTATGTAAGTTTAAAAATTTGCATTTTATTGCTCTTTTTTTTATTTCTTTAAAGTGGGAAGCACCTCCCCAAAAAAAAACTTTTCAACAAATGATGTATGAAATTGTTAACAAAACTTAGACATATAAAGTGAAAATATGATCATGTGTATGTTAGAGGCCGGTGTGTATATGGGAGAGTGAGAGATACAGAATCAGGAGAGAGTTTTGTTATGTGTAAGTGAATGGGATCCGAATAAGGCGTGATGTGTGTTGGAAGAAGAAACGTGTTGGTAGATATTTTCACGACAAAAGATTTATAAAAATTGATATTGCATTTTTAACGAGACCCCACAGACCTACATATCACATGACAAAATATATTTAAACCAGTTAACGATGATTTCCTATTTGTTTTTAATTCTGAAACTATAGATCCAATCTAATCTATATGCCAACATTATGAATTAACATGCCCTTAGATTTAATATTACAGTTAATTTAGTACTCTCGGTTAGAATATCAGTTTCCAATTTCCTGTATTATAAAACTTCTATACTATCGGGTGTAAGAGCTTTTTATCATAATAATAAAAGGATCAAATTGTATTGATAAGAATTGATATTTCAAAAGTTTAACCTAGCCTTGACACTATTCAAAATGCTGTATTGGCGATGTACGAAGGTCACACAAAGAAACAAAATCTGTTATGTACATGTATAAAGGATATTTTCTATTATCCATTATTGATCTCTACTGGTCGAGAACCAGTTGCCGTCACCTGCCATTTTATTCTAAAACGAAGGCGTTGCAGGATAACTTCTGTTAATTGGGAAGATACGCATGTCGGGAAATGACGTCATCGCTTTATGGCGTCCTCAATTTTGGAAAACTTTCCGTTTTAAAACATACATGTACCAATTATAGCCTTACTTTATGCTATTCACTTTCTTTTAACAGAATTTAAAAAGATTTATAAACTTCCAAATTGAAGTCCAAACGTCCTTTTAATACAGTGTAAGTCGTTGGTTTCAGGTGACAACAAATTCACATTCTGAACAGGAAGAGGACCTTCCAAATTTTACAAATTAATGGGTATGTCTTGTTTAATTGGTGGACACTTTTCTCATCTTGCTACACGAGAGCAAAATATGAATTAATGTCCCGATTAAATGTAACTTTCATCATTTAATGACAAGATTAGAAAATGAAGGTAAATGGTCATCAGACCAAAAATTGGCACAGTAGTGATCCGTTTTTTTCATTGTTTATAAGAACAATTAAAGTCTATTAGAGTCTATTGTGTTAAACCTAACTTGTTTAACCTTGTGTATGTTAAAGGAACATTTCCCCAAAAGCTTCCTGTAAAATAATATTTGACAAAAACTTCGAATTTCGGACGATAACTGGTTCTCGACTAGTACAGATTAAACCCTTATGTGGTTTGATTTTGGCAGGTAAAAAAGATTGATTAAGAAATATTTAAGATGTAAAAACTCAAAAATGATAAGTAAAGTATGATCATAGAAGACGGTCCAGTAAGAGGAAATAACTGCCAACAAACTCTTTAAATTGTTTTTGATTAACCGGAACCAGACTCGGTCAATAAACCATTTTTTCCGTATTGGGACTAAAAATCCCGACTTACCCATCGTTTAGTTTTAACAAAGGAACCCTTAGCCCATACATGTTTTTACCTTATCGGGAATTTTAAAGGTCGAATTTAATTACCGAGTAATTCTTATATGGAATCTACGATAGTAATTATCTCTATAATTATCTGCTTTATGTATTCCAATATTAAATGCCAATAGTTGTCTCATATTTAAATTATTCAAACTTTTTCCATTAAAATATTGATATTCATTGTATATTTAGGTTGTTGCTAGATGCAGATGTCTATAGATATAAATTCCCTATTGTAAAATACTCCTGTTCAAATGGAATAAACATGCAATAGACTATTTTCGTATTACCGACTTTTGACTCCGGATTATATAATTTGTCGACTGGTCACCTTGGACATCATGGTACTCGGTCAAGTAAGAGCAACCAAAATAAGTAAAATCAAACATATAATCGGTGTAGTTTGAGGGGAAAGGTTACTGTTTTCCGATGATTTTGTAGTGAAAAAAAAATATTAACCAGGTAATTTTCCCCAAAAATTGTACCGATTGAAAGCTTGGTTTTACTTCTTTAGCTTGCTCTTACCTGACTTGGTACCATGATGTCCAAGGTAACCAGTCGACAAATTACAAAGTCCGGTGTCAAAAGTCGGTAATATGAAAATAGTCTATTAGAAAACATACAGAGACGATGCACTTAGTTCAGATTTTAAATCACTATAAACAACAAGTTTTCCAGTCAGTCCTTATCTTACCCTTTTTTTTATTTCAAATAAGTGAAAAATATTATATCACATTCGAAATTGGTCACATATTTGCTTTCTTTATGCTCTTTGTGACAATTAAAATAATAAAATAGAAACGGAAGATACTAAAGGATATTCATACTCTTTAAGTCGATGACAAACTGACAAGGTTTTAAAAAATACAAATAACGAAGAAAAAACTATTTTCTCTCAGGTCTCCTTTGTGTGGAACTTTTGCCATTAAAGAATGCTTAGATCGATACTAGTTAGTATCAACCCTGGATTCATTTATGCACACATTGAGGACAGATTTGAATATTTTTGTGTGAAACTAAAGTCATGTTTTGTCACTGGAAGCTACAGAGTGCCTTGATTGTGTAAGAAGTTTTATTTTGCTTCATGGCTATAAAGATAATCTCTAGAATTTGTTTTACATACCATGAGTAATGCCAATTTCATACATTTTGATTGGTTGAACCTATGCATACACATGAGTAATACCAATTTCATACATTTTGATTGGTTAAACCTATGCATACCCATGAGTAATGTCAATTCCATACATTTTGATTGGTTGAACCTATGCATACCCATGAGTAATGCCAATTTCATACATTTTGATTGGTTGAACCTATGCATACCCATGAGTAATGCCAATTTCATACATTTTGATTGGTTGAACCTATGCATACCCTTGAGTAATGCCAATTTCGTATATTTTGATTGGTAGAACCTATGCATACTATTGTTGAAATTCCTTCATTGTTAATTTTCCAATCTTTATGTAGCAGAAAGTTTGCCTCAAACCAGCACCGTGACATAGTATCCGTCTTGTTAACGCATTACAACCGCCATTCTTGGTATTTACTTTCGACTGCTATTAGCATAACCTAGAATTATATCCTGATATAATTGATCATGTTATCTTGTCCCTCACGTCGAATAAATTATATTATTCCAAACTACAATTATCATACGTAGTTACTATTTCTATAATATAAGAAACGTTACACATTATTTCCGATCTTCGTGTTAGGTTTTATGACCGTTTGACCTTGTAAAATATTATTTCTGATAAAGTAGTATCATGATTTCCCTAATAGAAGGTTACTACTTACAAGGAAGATATTACTTTAAGGGCTCCAAGTGGAAAAGTTTTTACGGACGCCATCATGTTTTGATTGACCCTTATGAAATATCTGTGTTACATACGACTACGGATATGTTCCATGTGTCGTTATCATTATCCCGTCCTCTTTTTTCCGATTGTGATGTTACCGAAAGCGACATCTAACCGGATTTAATTTCGTGAGCAACACGAAGATTGCAACAAGTGGAGCACGTCCTGCTTACACTTCCAGAACACCTGACATCTATCCAGATGTTCGATGAGGTTCGTGTTACTCAGTCTTTACTTTTCTATGTAATGTTGGTTATTGTCACTCTCGTCGTTTTTATTTGAGGCCTTGACAATGTCTGTTTTCTGACTTATGATATTCGAATAGCTCCTTGGTATCTTCTCTCATTTTTAGCAACCTTCTATAAACAAAATGAATTTATATATAACAACTAGGATACTGTGAATATTTTACAAAATCACACTTATCTGTGATGACTTTATTTACAAATAGTCATTATTATTGTAACATTGTAATTGGTTGTGTAAAAATACAACCATAATACCACGCTTATTAGCATGACTTGTATTTCAGTGGCACAGATTTAATATTTCATATTTTATGTTTTATTATCACAAAGTGTAATATGATATGCATATTTTCACGTTGTAGTATACACTGCATGCGGTGATGGCATAGCAAGAACTTTTGACGCTAAATCGGGAGCTCTTAAAAGAGAGTTCAAAGGGCACGAGAAGGCTGTATATGCTATTCAGGTTACGAAAATCACATAATTTTCATAGATGTGCGCTACGCCTATTTCCATGCTACATTCTTTTGTTGTTTATTTGTATCCTAGTCCAGATGTTCTAATGCCACTACAATATGTATTAAATACGCAAAAATAGTTTCAGAGAAGACCCCTTTAAATCGGATAGTTTCACATTTAGTAAAGTAACCAAACATTTCTTCTTAACATGTATAATTATTTATCCACTTTTCACTGATTTGTGTTTTCCGTATATCTACATCAACAAACAAAAGGATTGAAAAGGATAAATTTAAACATCATAGGAAATGGTAAAACATAATGGATCACCCTATGGTAAATTATCCCTATTAGGTTTTAATCTAACAATGTAGATTTAATTTTATAACGTCGAATGCGATATCGATACCTCATCTATAATGTCCAGAATAAAAGTGATATATATATTAACAATTTTTCTGTTTTGCGTACTTATACATGTTGTGGTGAAGAAGCTATATTCTCAGTGCCTATACCTTTTCTAAATATATTTATACGACAAAAAGTCAGAATATATATTTTTCGGCGAGAAAAATCACTCCTAGTTTGTCAAATGGGTCTTGTCAGGGAATATTCAAGAACTTCTTATTAATTAGTTTTTCTAACTTGTCAATCTACAGAAGGGGCAGGGTAAATATACAAACTTCCTTTCATATATAATGTATTTATTCTTTATCATTTGATAAAAAACATTGAATTTCTATCCACTGTTTTCAAACAATTTCCCATTTCAGAATTATCAAACGCATTTCATTGATATTATTTTCAAAAGCGTTAGGATTGATTAACGACGTCTTAAAGAATGCATATTCAACTAAAGATATAGTTATATATTTGTGTACGAATAATGGAAGTCCTCGTTTGCTGTTCCTTTCCTTTAAGAAATATTTGGCCTAAAAATTGCCCAAAATATAATATTTTTGCCTTCGCAAGAAAAACGGCCAACTTTTTGAAATCTAAATGGTCATAAATTTTGAACCGCTTGACCGATTCCAAAAGTTTTGGCACCGATGAATTTCTTATTTTGGGCCCTTTCATAATTATGTAGTTTAATGCACTTTCTCTATACTTAATATTGTGGTTGACCTCCTACGTTATTCTTTGAAATGACCAATGGAGTATCATAAACTGCATTTTTTTCATATTTATATGTTATAGTTATTGTTTATTAAAATTTAGTTTATAAAATGGCTTACAGTATACATTTGTTTGTGTGCTTTCTTTCTGTCGATATGAACTATAAGCATAAGGAATTTCTATAAACCAAAGTAATGTCTATTCTTTTGATCAATTCAACGTAACAACTCAACTAATAAGCTGATTTATCCTGTCAATTGACCGCCGTTTCGTCTGTTTCAATTCACAGCAAAAACGATTTATGTTGAATTCAAAATACAAAAATGTACCAACAAAAATGACGGTTTCATCATTTAGTTTTCCTTAACTAGCGACGAGTGCAGGTCCAATATACGAAATGTTTGTAATCTTCTTATCTGGATTTATTATTCGGAGTTAGAGGTCAAACATAGATACTTTTTCCAAACTAGTCGCTTATACATGTAATTAATTTATAGTTCAGAGACGGTTAGAAGGCAGACATACAAATTTTCGTGATCTACGTAGTTGTGCAAAAGCACCCTTTCAATTTGTTCATCTTATTTTTTGCACACAACTATCATTTTAATGCACCATTCTTTCATTTGAAATTGTGACAACTATTTTAGCATTATTGTTCAGTCAATTGTTGAATGCTAGTGATCAAAACCAGGGTATTTAAAGAATGTTTTAAATATTTTCGTTTGATACTTTCAAGTATACTATTCATCAGCTAATATATGTTATCATTTCATATATAGTGTTCACCGCTAGTGGTGATAACACAGCAAGGTGCTTTGATCCCAAATCTGGTGCTCTGAGAAAGACGTTTGAAAGTCACCATTTTTGTGTAACGTCCATTGAGGTAAAGGTTGATTCGAAGCATGATTTTGGACTTTAGACATTTTTGGATGCATGCCTGGAAACGTAGCATGAACAAATATCAATCGAACATGCATAAATGTATCCTTATGTATTTAAAACAGTGTAAGAGTAAACTCACAATATTTACTAGGCATGAATACACATTAATAAATAACTAGTATTTAGACACAGTAGTTGCATGTGAAGTATATTAAAGTTTTCAGGCAAACATGATAAGGAATGTGCAGGCAGGTTAAAACAGTATGAATCAATCAGCATACAATTTTTCTGTCTGATATAAAAACGAATAGAAGATTAGGTACTGACATAAATCAGCATGCAATGTGTCTGATATACAAACGAATAGTAGATTAGGCACTGATTTCAATCAGTCTCCTGCATTCAAATAAAACAGAGTTAAGATTACCTGTACTTCTTCGACCTAAGAGTATATTCAAGAAAATAGTTGACAAACGTAAACGTCATTTTAGGAATAATGTTCGTTATACTTTATCTTCCTCTTTCAAAGTAACTCATTATAGATGCCAGGTTAATAATATGGTACGCCAGATGTGCGTTTCTTCTTCATAAGATTAATCAGTGACGCTGGAATCTATACAATTCGATGGCAAAACTAGAAACGAAGTTGATCATCTGTGCATCTGGTGCAGCAAAACTGGTACTGGTAATGTTATTACTACCATCAAAACCAAAATATCCGAAAGGTTGTGCCAAATACGGGTAACGCCTGATAGTCGAAAACCTTTTGTGTTTCGATCAATTCAATATTTTATACACAGTAAAAGTAGAAAATGAACAAATTAGTTATATTTCATGTCAACACAACTGTGCTTACTACAGTACTAGTGGCACCCTGACGGACGAAACGTAAAATGAAAACAAGATCATGAGAAATGATTAATAATGGTAAAACACAAACAATAATTACTGCTCATGTTTGTTAACACATGCAAACTAGACGCACGAGAATACATATTTCCTACAAAATATGATCACTTTCCCTCAACAAAAATGCATTCCGGCTATGATACAATTCAATTTCTCTACTTCAAGCCTTCGAAAGCATTGACAATTGTTCAGTTTTACAAATCCAAAAGTACGTTTCATGTCAAAACTTATATTAATTAGGGTGACAGTAGTTTACCGATGGTGAGATCCCATAAATCGAGTAAGAAAAGACAGATCAAGGAACTATAAAAAAAAAAACACTGAGGGAAATCCCATGAAGGTGCGAGACTGAGGGAAATCTCATGAAGGTGCGAGACTGGGTGCGTCGACAGGTTAAGAGTCTTACGGACAATCCTAAAATTAACATTACAGAAAAACTTAAAATTACTCTCAATTCACACTTTGCGATTTTAGGACTTCTGGATATTGTTTTTCTCAATTTAAAGCCATCTCATTCACATAATGCACTCCCTCATGTATCATTTCATAGTATTTTGTTTTTCATTCTGAAACCTTTTTTGGTAGATAATAGTTGTTGATGTCTATAGCCTGTTGCATGCGACATTTTATATTGTAATTAATCAAACTGTAATGCACTCTTTTATATCCAGTAACGTTGTGTTGTAATCAGATGTTGTCTACATGCAATTCTATAATCAATTAATTAGTAACAAAATTCAATTCTATAATGTCAAATTTGATAAATTATTAATGTTAAGTAAGAAGCCAACGAGTGCATTATGAACTGTGAATTTTAATACCTTGGTAGCTTGATTAAAAAAAACAATTTTAATGGAAACAATAATTGAAATAACAGGAATGTACGTTTATATTTGATATCCAGCATTAAACATTGGGAGTGACTTATTTCTCACATTACGTTTTGACATCATCAGTAAAATATTTTATATCGTTCTTATATATTTGAGTTTATGAAAGTACGAACGATATTTAATGGAAAATTTGGAATAATTTTGGTTTTATTCTTTATCAATTGTGCTATTAAAATTAAATGAAATTCAAGTTTATAGAATAGACTGGGTGTAGAATTGTCAACCAATGAGACAGTAATATGCTAGGTTAAAGGATAGATAACAACTTAAACTGACTGATATATGCTAAGCTGTAGAAGAGTTATGCGATACAACAGACTGAATGATCATGCTAAGCTAAAGAAATTTTTATCATTGAATATGTATAAAGTCATTCGAGATACCATGTTTATTGTCTAATTTCTATTAACGACATTTGTAGATAGTAGATGGCAAGCTGTTTACTGGATCCTTTGACGGGACGATGAAAGTTTGGGATACAACCGGGATTATCGATGATACTACGTTTGGAAAAGACGACAAGGAAAAGGAGAAACAAAAACAACAACAACTAGATAAAAACCAGAATGGCATTGAAAATGGCAAGATAATGATTGACTAGTTACAATGGTTATCTACGAAACAGTGACTCTTTACTTCGTTATACGGAGTCAGCATAGACTGTTCCGAATTAAATCTGCGGTCGGTGTTGAATTACTGATCTACTATGTATTTTTTGTAAGATATGGACAAATAGACTTATTTTGGTGACAAGCTGGGTTGAAGAACTTTTATGGTATTTTGTGATATCCCTTTTTGTTTTATTGCCACAGAAAAGTTATATTTATAAGTTTGTATACATTGTTACTGTTTTCACAATCCTGTCTCTTTTTTTTCAAATCCTAAGATATATTATGGGGTCGAAAGATCTTCAAAACTACAATCTCACATGTTGAAATAAAATAGAATAGTCATAGTCTTATATCTTAAAATTAACACTTTTACTTCTTGTTCTTCTAATTAACAATTTTTTTAAATTTTTATTGTATCTTTGAATTGTAAAATAAAATCTAAGGTTAAATAGTTAAGTTTTAAATACCTTTTTCAAATATTTTGAACATGTTGAAAAACCACAATCTTTTCAACGTCGAAACTAGTATCCAAAATTAATGAGCAGAAGATATCTTGCAGCAAATATTTCTATAAGATTGATAATCCTTGTTATGATTTAGACGTAAAGCTTAATGATACATGTACACCTTATATTTTCAAATCGAATAAGAACTGTAATTGTAAAAGACTATTTTCAGTCTGTGGTCCTAACTGGAATAACTTATGTGGTATATTAAAGGGTAGATTTTTTTCAGGCGACAAGCGGCCCATTTTGATACCTTTTTCGTAAATCAAGCCGAAAAATTAAATCTTAATTATTCACGTCGCATTTATGAGTAAACGTTAGCATTATGCAAAGAAAATGTATATCGTTAACATAATTTTATAAATCAATTTTGTATCGTCATGTTGGCGACCCCATTAACACCATCATACATCATATGAGGATGCGAAAGGGGCTAATAAATAAATTGAAAAATAGTTCATAAAATTTCTTCTTACCAAATAATAATGCATTTTAATATATAAAAATATCAAATGCACAAGAACTTGAGCGATAGCTTGTGCGCATGTGTAAATATAATTATTTTGTTACAAAAATTTGATAGTTTTCGTACCGTCAATGGCTCATTCAATTATAATAGGTAATTTCAAAAATTCTTATATCCGAAAGTTCATTGTCTAGATCTCAAAACTATCTTTGTGAAATCCTAGTCTGATGTGATGTTTTCACTACTGCTGATGTTTTAAATTACCCGTCCATTTTTTTACTTGGTGTAGTATATAAAATGTTATTTTTGTATTTTATAGCTATTTGTTGTGTCACGTTATCATGGACATACTCTTGTGTACATATTTTACTTGTAACTCATTGCTGTTATTAATCCAACGAACAAAAATAATTTTCTGAAACTAAATCAATACTTGGGTGTCGCGTTTTGAGCCGCACATGTTACAAATCCTTGTGCAGAACGATTTGACACTAACAATACTACAATATTGCTTCAAAATCATTAAAAATGATCATAAGTGCTACATTGTCATCATGTGTTACCGTTTTGTCCAATTATATAACGACAAATCGTCATTTGTAACAACAGTTTCTCTGTTGTAACTACATTGTCACAATATGTAACAACATTTTCCTTACTTGTAACAACTTTGTCTAAATTTATACATATCGCCATTCGTAACAGTACAAAAATAAGTAGATGTGGTATTGCGTCTAACAATATATAACAATATCAACATTTCTAACAATATCATCGGTTATTACGTCAAATTATTCGTTTGTGGGTACATTTCTTCTTTTGTAAATATTTTTTATTATTTTAACTGCATTGTCACCATATCAACAACATTATCGCCATATCAACTATATCATCTACATACTAACTACAATGACACTATCTGAAAGAAGTGTGTCGCCCTTTTGAATACTTTATATACTGTACCAAACACCTTAACTCATACACCTTATCGCCATTTGTCCGCCATTACTGGACACCACAAAGGTTCCCGTAAAATTTTGATTTCACAATAAAAGATGTCTCACGCCACAAAAGAAAGGTGATTGTTGTATGACGTTAGTAGTTCAATTGTTTATCGGGTCAAGTGTCGCAGATTCCCAAATAGCGATAAGGTCTATTTAAATGTATCATTTTGCATTATTACATTGCATTGACGTATTTTTGTCGTCGACAAGGTCGACATCTTTTTTAACTGTGTATAGAAATAATATCAAATTATGTATGTAGTAATAACATTGTAAAACTATAAAAATTTAAACTGGTTTAAATAATTCCTCCCTAATATTGAAGGAATCATTAATTGACTCCATTTTTTTTTTACGATATGAAAACACCCATAATCCTGTTTCGCAATGAAATAGAAATTTGATTGAAATACAGATTTTTTCTGACAAAATGTGTGGTTCAAGTTTTTTGAAATTTTTATATTTTTGTCAGAGTGTCAAAGTAAATATTTTGTCGAAATTTTATGAAAATTAAACGAGCCAAATTAATTTTGAGTTCTAAATTTGTTTGAAAAGTGTTTATACTATAATTGTTAGATCATTTTTTCTAAAAGGTTCTGCGTAGACCTACTACTGTGTGTGGCTACCTTTTCTTTTTTTTTATTCAACAACAATATTGCGCATGCTGTTAACAGATTTTTTTACTGGTACAGATATTTCAGTGAAGATCTCTGTATATTAGTACCTAACGACAGGCTGCCTTTTCACTTGAACATGTCTACACTTTTGGGTAATGTTTGTATCAATTTCAATCGATTGATATCCTGTATTTGATACATTCTTTTTGTTTTGTCCTATGGTTAAAAATTACTTTGTATGACTTTTCTTCTTCTGTTTAAATCTTTGATAGTAAAGGGTTGACCATTTGATTTTCTGGGTTGGAGGAGTATTTTGAAAATGAATAATTTGATCTGGTAAAAAACTAAAAATAAGCAACTTTGCACAAGGCAAAATAAAAAATGATTATTCTGCAACACAAAATGCAGGAATCAAATGTGTACAAAAATGAAAACGCGGAAAAAATAACCAAGCGTAGCAACAGATGAAAATAAATGATCAGTCCAGAAGCAATTCTCCTGGTCCCCTCCCAGAATATCAAATGGTCGTCCCCTCATTCGGTAAAGAGTTGTAAACTTACTGATGTCTTTCTTGTTGTTAAAACATATCTATTTTGACTATTAAATGTTTTGTTTTATTACGATTTTTTTTTTGGAATTTTATAGCTACTTCACAGAAAACGAAGGTCGTTCACACCATCAAACCACACATAAAAAATGGAAATACAAAGGGAACAATAAAAAAATTGAGCAACACAAATCGCATAAAACCGAGGAAGCTCAATAAATGCATGGCTAACATATAAAACAACGAATTTCACATAAAACGAAGACTGTCTCTTATGTGAAACCCACTATAACGGTGTTTACCTAAAACAGGGAATATCTATAATGATTGTCAAACCAAATACAATAGACTTAGTATCAATTAGAAACTGCATTCTCTGTCAAGTACTATCAAGTTTCAAATAGCATCGAAATTGTTAAACCTCATTCCATGAAAAAGTCACATACATCAGAAACAACCCATACATATTTAAATGAGGTCACATACCATACATATTTAAATGAGGTCACATACCATACATATTTAAATGAGGTCACATACCATACATATTTAAATGAGGTCACATACAATAATAGAATATAAAAGAGACGAAATATACCACTGGGACAGTCAAACTTATACGTCGTCGAAAATAAACTGACAACACCATGACTCAAAAAGAAAAGGTAATACACAGATCAGAACTATGAACAATTGTAATTGTTTATAGATTTTGATCTGCGTTACCTTTTACATCTGTCATACTTATAATGGCATTATGAAAGTAGACAAAATTTATCTGTACAAGATAGTGACAGCAATTGTTTTAATGGCAATTGGGAACATGGATCATATTGTATCTGACGTACTGATAGCTTGTAGTAGAATAGAGGCAAAAGATACCAAAGGGACATTCAAACTCATAAGTCAAAAATAAACTGACAACGGCATGGCTAAAAAAGAAAACAGACAACCAATAGTACACAAAACACAACATAGAAAACTATAAAGACTGAGCAATACGAACCCCACCAAAATCCGGAGGTGATCTCAGGTGATTCGGAAGGTAAACAGATCCTGCTCCACATATGGCATCCTTTGTTTTGCTCATGTAAGACACCTGAGATCACATCAATCAAAAACTGATATTTAAATATTATTATTATTATTATTTGACAGTATAACAGACAATACTAACAACCAACAACTGACTCCTCTGAAAATACTAGACAAAACAAACAAAAACGAAAACACATGGTCTATCTTGTAAATTGATCATCTTTATTAAAATAAAACAATAACTTTTGATGAGCACACACACTTTGGTTATTTTATTTATTCATTTATTCATTTTTCTAAATTTGTATTGAATAGATTACGACTATACAGTTTTCAATGTTAATGGACATTTATAATATTTTACTTCATATGAAGGGACGCAACTGTTTCTAGACCTGAGATAAAACAATAACAATTTGTAGTTATTTCCCTTGTCGCGATCTTGACCGTTTAACATCTAACTTAGCGGATGGCGCTGTTCCTCTACTTTCAGTTCGCTGCTTTTTTTCGTCTTTTTTATTCCGCCTTGTGTTTGATCTTACTCGTCTGCTGTTTGGCCGAGAACCTGACCCTCCAGATCCTTTTGTAGATATTCGTGCTACAACAAAATGAAAATTATCATAACACATGTACAATCAATAAAAACTACTAGGTTTGATAGATTTGACACTTTTTTTTGAAATTTTTTTAATGAAAAGGAGTTAAGAAAAAAAGTAATACAACAAAAATACCGAACTCCAAAGAAATTTCAAAACGGAAAGTCACTTAACAATTGGCAAAATCAAAAGCTAAAACACATCAAACGAATGGAAAACAACTGTCATATTCCTGACTTGGTACTGGCATTTTCTTATGTAGAAAATGGTGAATTAAACCTCTCACTTGTATGACAGTCACATAAAATTCTATTATATTGACAACAATGTGTGAAAAAAACAAACAGACATAATAGGTAAAAATGTCAGAAATAGGGGTACAGCAGTCAACATTGTGATATAATATAACACTATAACACGTAATTATAAGATGATAAACAACGTGAGTACCTAGAATCCATACATAAAGACCATCATATTTATTTGTGAAGTTGATACGAAATAATTATCAACAAGGGCTTGGTATCTTCCGATGAACTTTTTTAGAAAAAGAACGAGACGTTCTTTGACAGAACCCTGGATCATCAACTTTTTGCTCAGACACTGGTGACGTTTTACAAAGTCTGAGTAGCAGCTGCAAGCTCTTGAATACCGAATGAGTTGGGAAATGTCCCATATGCAGGTGAAGTTGGTATATTGCTACTAAAAGCTCACTTTAATAAAGACAAAGTGTGCATGGTACGGTACATGTACATGATAATCCCTATTTTTAACATCTAGACGATTGCGACATCTTCTCTGAATTAACTTGGTTTTTTTGGGGAAAAGATATAAATAAGTGATATTCTGAATAACAACGCTTCCCCGCTAATAAACATTAAAAGAACAAATAAACATACATTTTTTTGTAAAAAAGAGAAAATAAATGAATTTATTATGAAATAAAATGGTATAAAAATGTGGTCTTAGGACACCGATTATTCATCATTTGTAAAGGGATTGCACTTTTTATATAAACTGTTCGATTTCAAATTTCTAGCAAAAATCAGAGGATATATAAAAATAAAAGAGTTTTTTTCCATTGAAAACCATTTTTCCATTAAAACCACGATATTTTTCTAAAGAGCCATGGATTACAGAATGAGTGTACCTTTATTTATATCTAAAGCTATACTATTTATAAATAGAAACATAGCGTTTTGCAAGATTTTTAATATTGACCGTCAATATATATATATATAAATAGAAACATACATTCCATATACTTTATATCTTTTGCATCACGTGATCGTAATCACCAATGAAAAAAGTAGAATGCTACAGCATATTATGTAATAATACAGCTATATAAAAGTACTTACTGCGGAATTCGTCTGATATGTATTCATCGTTTAACAGCGGCACGTAAATTTCACCATGTGAATCCTTCTCTAAAATCAAAAACATTAAATTGAGAATGGAAATGGGGAATGTGTCAAAGAGACAACAACTCGACCAAACAGCAGAAAACATCCCAAGGCCACCAATGGGACTTCAACACAGCGAAAAATTCCCGCACCCGGAGGCGGCTTCAGCTGGCCCCTAAACAAAAATGTGTACTAGTTCTGTGAAAATGGACGTCACATCAAACCAAATAAATATTTTTTCACAAGTCAGTAGTCTTCGAAAAAGAGAAGATTTAAGGATGTTCGCTACTCTGTTTCAAAATAACAAGCTTTTTAAAAGAATATTATAAATTGAAAGTATATAAATAAAGGAACTAAAAAAGCAGAAAAAGTGCAGGATCCGTGTGCTTGTTTGCGAGATATAAGCCATTGAAAATTTGGAGGGACATGCTTCTCTCTAGATTTTTCATACATTTAACATTTTTTTTCTTTCAAAAACGATGAAAAAATAACAAGGATTTTATAAAATTTTCAAAGATGACATTTTAAACTATATGTAATCAAATTATGGAAAGCAAAGTAGGGGTTAGTGGGCAAAATTTTTAATGGCTCTACATGGATAAAACCAGAGGATTCCGAATATCTGGCAAAAAATCAAAAACAAGAGGAGCGAACATCCTTAAGTAGACAAAGCAGATATTTGAAGAATATTTGAGAGGGTAATCAGATCTTTGTTAAAGGGGATAAATCTGTGTTTGTTACACAGGCTGTTTCGTTATTGCTTTTTTAGCATTCCAGTGACACATATGATATAAATCAATATCCGATAAAAGTTTTAAATGTATTTATTAAAATGATGGACATAAACGTGCCAGTAATTTGTTTTACGTCCCATTACTAAGAGCTACCTTCTTAATTCCTACTGATAGAAGTTTTCACAAAAACAATATGTCATTTTTGACCTTAAAAAAAGTTTTATCGTTTACAGTGGTTAGTTTTTGTATTAGCTCCTAGTTTTATATTCAGGTTAAAATACTAAAGCTTTCTAGAAGCTTTACGACGATATCGTAGTGAACGTCAAACTAGCTTTGCATGTTATTTAAGCAGATTTACATCGAAACTGGAATTAAAAATCGGAAAATGCTGCATCATATATAGAATAATGGCATTAACGCTAAATTCATAAGCAAGAATATAAAGCGAGCCCACTAAGACAAACAGATATTCGAGCTGGTGAAGTCTGCCTAAAAAAATATGCAATTATTCTTTTTATCAGCAATTTTTCTTAGGGCTTATAGAATAACATAACAAAACGATGCGATAGTCGATCGGTTGTCTGAATGAAGTCGCGTGCATTTCATTGTTATGGGTAATTTTTTAAAAATGGCCTATTTTCAGTACACCTTTGCTAAAATTTGTATTTTCATTGGATAATGCAGTTGTAAGTATTTAAATGAAAGTTTGTAGGATTTATGAGTCGGAACATCTATAATAAACACGATTTAGATCTATTTTGATAAGATTAAAAAGTAAAATAACAAAAATATCGAACTCCTAGGAAAATTCCTAACGGAAAGTTCCTTATCAAATTGAAAAAAACAAAAGCTAAAACACACTAAACCAATGGAAAACAACAGTCATACTACTGACTTGGTACAGGCATTTCCTTATGTAGAAAATGGTGGGTTAAACCTGGTTTTATAGCTAGCTAAACGTCTCACTTGTATGACAGTCGCATACAATTCCATTATATTGACAACAATGTGCGAAGAAAACAAAAAGACATAATATGTATCTTCTTACATCTATATACATTGTAGTATGTAAAATGTCAAAAATAGGGGTACAGCAGTCAACATTGTATTATAATCTAAATCACTATAAAAATAAACAAATATGTCAACAAAGAAAAACAAAATGGCATATAGGCAAAGCACATAAGCAAAAATGAAAGACAAGAATACAAAAAATGACGATAGCACAATAACACGATGACGGGATGTATAAGTACCGAGCCACGCCAAGAGGATATTACCAAAAATATTATACTT